TTCAAAAACTAAGCTGAGAGCCCAGTCGACTTGACTCGTTTTACCCGTGCCGACCGTTATCACCTGAACAAATCTCTATACCGAATAGGAATAGTCGAAAGCCTGAGATGCGACTGTGGTGCTGAGTAAATAACCCAATGACAGGGTTAATATTTATAAATAATTTTAAAAAATGACTCGTTTTACCGTTTTGCTACTGATATCGCTGGAGAAAAAGTAGCCAAAGTCCCTGGATATCCTTAATTCAATCCTGCCAGACCCCCTGCAAGCTCCGGCCTGAATCAAGCAATTTTTTTTATGCAAACCGGAAGCCGAGATATTCTCGGCTTCGCCAATCCCGCCCCCCAAAACACCCCCTGACACTCGTGTATTTTTACCCAAAACGTCATGAATATTACATCTTCATCATGAAATTCCGTCCATCGGAATACTCCTCGTAATTCAATTCACCGCCGCTGTCACTCTCCACCGGATTATTACGCTCCCCAAATACTACACGACAATCATAATTAATCCCCCCCCCCCCTCCAGTTCCGCCGTTGTTGCCCCCAAATTAATTCCCAATTTTTTAAAAAACCGTTGACGAACCAATGAATGTTATTTTCCCATCAATTATTCATCGAGCTCTACCATTATATCTTCGTTATTGAATTTACCATGGCTAAATTGACACGTGACAGGCTTTGAACGGGTACATTGTAACAACCATTTGTAGGCACACTCCAAGCCCACTAGGCCGTCGACATCGGTGGATGAAAGGGGGTGTTTCGGCGGGCGGTGGGTGGTTGCCCGTGGGGCAGGGGGTGACGGGGAGGGGGACCCTCTCGTCTGCTATACCTGCGCGCGGCTACACGCGTTACGGTCGTGACTCGGTATTCTCAGTACGCGTCGGACTGCCACTTTGGTGCGAGCCCAGCTGTCTAATACGTCTGTCGTTATTCACGGAATTATTCTCACGCGCATTTCTAAGGTATCAGCGACATGAAAAAGAAATTATAAAAAATTTTGTACGAGAAAGTTTCTGCTTTTTTTTAAATTCATTTTTAAAATTTTCTTGAGTTCAGTGAAGTTTATTTTGAAAGATATTATTTGTACCGGTATACACCGAGGGGAAAATTCTAATATGTGAACCATATTTACTTGAGAGAGATGATTTTTCTTCAATCGTTTAAGGTCTCATGCTTAAAAATATTCTTGGACACTAATGGAAAAAATTATTTTCTTTCTTGGAACAAGAATTATGTACTTGAACCAAGTTTAAATAAATAAGATCTTACGGTGAATATAAATTATTTCTTCTTGAGATACATTTACTTGAAGCAAATAAAACAGTCCTTGGTGTCAAGTCACATGTGTTCACCACAAAAATGGAAAAGTTCTATTTTTTTAACCTAATATAATCTGCAGTCGAGAAATTTTCTACTTTCATGAATTGATAAAAAAATTCGTACCTAGGAGATGATTACATTGGGGAATGAATTGCATGTTGTTTTCTCGAATGAAGCCGATGTTTAAATTGAGCTTTCCGTACATCACATTGAACGAAATTTGTGATATCCAAGTTTGTGTTGAATTGCCGTAATCTGTGATTCTGTTATTGTAAACTAATGCGATTTTTTTAGTCAAGAAATATAAACTTCTTTCAACTCAACGACATCTCACTACAATCTCAAAGCTTTTTCCGCGTAACAATATTCATCCTGATTCGACAGACGAAGTGCTCACTTCAATTATAATTAACTTGGAACAACGTATGATCGTGTTGATTGGGATAACAACGTATTTAGTCATGAGAATAATTTTGATTTTTGAGTTAACCAACGAATTTCTGAAGTTAGCAAACTTTCGGCTAGAAAGGAATCAAATACTCTCATTATTGCGGCAAATAAAAGGAACTTCAATTCTAGAGAATTTCGATTTCTCCCAATCGAATGTATCTCAAGAAGAGATAACTATGAAGTCATGTTTACTTGAAAATTAACAACCAAATGGTAGTTGGTTCAAATAAAATCCTCTTGATAACATTCATTATTTCTGTCAGTGTACTCTGATGCGATTTTGTCGCAACCTTCACGTATTTACTGTTTTCACGATTTTTTTCGTGCACTTCCAATGTTTCGCGGAATGGTAGTGATAAATGAGAATTTATTCGAGTTTCGTGAAGCGCAAATATTCTGTGATTTAAGAGATTGAACATAATTTATTTCTCTCAAGTAAATATGGTCTACATATTCAGAAATTTTTCTCATTGTTGGATTCATATTCTGTATTATCCCGGGACTATTTTACTCGGTCAAACCTTAAATGTTTTTAAGGTACAAATTATATAGAAATTATATAGAAAATTATATATTATATATTATATATTGTATATTATTAAAAATTATATAGAAAGCATATCCATAAATTCTAATTACCGTTAAATTATCAAGTACTCAATTAGTTAATCTCACTCTTATATTTTATTTATTGAAGCAATCATCAATTTAAACATTCAAATTCCGAATTACTTATTAATCAGTAATTTAGTTAGGAAGATTGACGATTATTTGCATAATCGAAAATCTTTTTATAAGAAATTCAATATTATTTATTTAATAGAAATTTTACGGATCCATATTAGTAAATATTGAATTCACCATCAATTCGAAATTTAGATTATCAATTATTTTAGTATTTTTAAATTTCGATTACTATATTTAAACCTTAGAAACGATTGAATAATTAACCACAATTGTACCTTAAAAACGAGTAAAATAGCACGGGGATAATGCAGAAGTCTATTTTGATTTGAATGGCGATTGAATTTTTCGGTTGCGATGAAGTATTTTTTCAAGATTTTTTCACGATATTTTATTTGGTTTCAATGGGTTTCGGGTTTCAGGGGAATTTATTGGACGAATGAACATTGGATTATTTCAGGATATTGGAAATTGGGGGGGGGGAAGGGTGGGGGAAAATTTGTGGAATTTTAGAGCCACGGAATGTGGTGCCCTCATAAAGTGGTTGACCAGCGATTTCAGTGAGGCAGTTTAAAGGGAAATAAAAAAAATCGAAATTCATTGGATATTTTATATTCAGTGTGGATTTTTTTTTATTCCACCACTGAAATTATTGGAGGGAAATTGAATTTCAAGGAGCACGAGGCATTCCCGAGTCTCCGTGGCTCTAAGATCCCGAATTTATTACCCTGATTTTCCCACGATTCTGGGATAATTCAATTAGAGGTGACTTTTGTTTCATGTTGGTTATGATTTGTGTGGAAAATATTGAATCGTTTTCTGTAGATTGAATATATCGAGGGAAAAACGCGATTTTTTCCCCTCCATATCCGATGAAGTGATTCTCCGAAATTCGGTCGGACCATTCCGTCCTCAAAAAAGGAAATTGTGAAAAAACATGAGGCGAAGGGGAATTCTACACCGTCTGATCATAGCACTGACTCTTGCTACGTTTGTCGTTGCATCTGTTGCTGGTGAGTGACAAATAAAGAATTTATGAAACAACTTGTTTGAGTGTGATGAGCATACGTGAATGCTATTCCTGACGTATAATAAATATTATTTTTTGTAATTGGACAACACATTGTTACACTCAAAAACTATGATACCTCGTTTTAAGATTTGAAATGTTGCAAAATGGGATTTTTAAACGTCTTGATTTGAGACTTGTGAAGGTTTTGATTGGCGAATTTCAAAGTCTTATGTTGAGACTTTACAAGTTCTCAATTTAAGACTTTAATAGACTCTAAATTTCAATTCCCTTTGAGTTTTATGAAATAACTTGTTTGAGTGTGCTGAGAGACACTTGAATGTTACCTCTGAAATATGATAAATATTATTTTTTGTAATCAAACACATTGTTGGACCCAAAAATATAATACCTTATTTTATATATACTTTTGAAATAATTTAAGTTAAGACTTTCGGAACTCAACTTGAAATTTTTCATTAAGTAAAGTTCTGAAAGTCTTAACTTAAGACTTCTCCCTTATTGAAAAACAACAAATGCAATAATCCTTAAAATACTACACAATTTTTCGTTAATAGTAGATTAAATATCTAAAAGCAGATTGTAAAAAGTGTAAAAATTTTGATTAAGTTAATGGAACATTACTGACAGTGTAAATAATTTTTTTTATTGTTTAAAGTACTTAAATCCTGTAGATTTAAGCACTTTAAACAATAAAAAAAAATTAAGACTTGTGAAAATCTGGACTTGAGACTTTTAAAAGTTTTAATTTCAAACCTGTGAAAATTTTAACTTGAGATTTTCGAAAATCTCAATTCGAGATCATAAGCCTCGAAATAAAGCTTCTTTTTTTTGTGTATTTATCATAATTAGAGCGAGAATTGGAATGAACACCTGATGGGGCGACCTTCATCGTCAATACGAGCTAACCGCCTCCGCATTCTCGTTTCAATAGAGAATTTCTCATTGTGGTCAACAAAGTGTGCCACATAGCACATATTGTATCTGCACATTGTTGGAGCAAAATAATCCTTGACGACAGAGTTTATCAGCAAATGAATTGTCACTCTCGTCACAACATTCCTTAATTGCGATCGACATCGTGATTACGTTATATTTACTTCTAGATATACTGTTGAAAATTTGTTGAAATTTCATGGAAGATATTATAATAAATCTCATGGGAGTAACATTGAATCGGATTTATAGAAAAAATTGTTATGAAATTTCAAGTTTTACGTAGAATTCACGGAATTCATGAGTTTTCAGTGGGAGTGAAATAAAAATTTCACAACTTGATTGAATTTTCAGTGGAACATGAATATTCAGAAACAAAATGACATGAATTTTCAAAACGTTCCCTGAATTTTCACAGAATAATTGAACTGAAAAATCAAGTATTTTATTGATTTCCAGATCTTTTGAACAGAAAATCAATGGAATATTTGATTTTTCAATGAAAAGCTTTTCTGAAATTTCAGTGAAACACGATAAAAATTTTCTGAATTTGGTACGGAAAATTCACGCGAAAAGTTTTAACAGTGTGCGTACGCATATACACAAAAAATCCAAAACTTAAATTTGAAATTTGAAATTTTTATCAACGACAGAGTTACATGAAATTTCTGTAGAATTCTTCATTGTCGAATCAGTTAATTTCTTGAATATTCAAGTAATTCTCGATTTTCAGGTCCATACGGCACTGAAAAATATTGAAAATTTCAAAAATTCAGGCGATAACTACTCTGAATTTCCAGTCTATTAAAAATTGAATGGTATGTGGTCTTCAATTTTCACGATGACTTTGGAAATTCAAATTTTCATTGAAAAATCAATGATTTTTTGACATGAAAAACCCAACTTTCTTGAATTTTCAAGATGAATGAGAAATTTAGTGAATGTTTTCATTTGAAATTGAATTCAAACTCGCAACATTGAAAATTCAAATGACATTGTGACTGAAATTTCATGAAAATTCTAACAGCGTTACAGAGGTTCCATTCGGAAGCAAAAACAGCCTTAAATCGCCAATAACGGCATGAAACGGCTCTGCCCTTGATATTTTTTATTACTCATCATGAAAATGAACAATAAATCCCCTAAAAATATTTCCTCCCCTCCGTTATTCACAATTTTATGCATTAAATCCTCCATTCACTCTCGCTTCGTCGTCTCGAGTTGATCACAAGAGGTGAGTTTGTGCACGAGAGTTTAGTTTATGAGCGGGAAAACGAATGGGGTAGGAGGACGAGGAAGGGGCAGGGATAGGGTGGGTTGTACTCGGTGTGACGTTGCATGGAAAGGTGGTAAATCTAGTTGGGATTTGATCATACGGAACGATGAACACTGGGGACTACGAGCTACACTCGTTATTTCCTACGGTTAAAGGCGATTTTAAATCCATCAGGGAATACTCGTTAATCTGTTCCATTCATTTGGAGGTTTAAAAAAAAAACTGGTTCGGATTTTAATGAGAGAGATAATTAGTGATGGGACCGGGGGAAAGGGCTGGGTGAAAATACTGCTGCAATTATTTTTGGAATTTGACTTCGAGTGAAAATAATTCCTGATGACTTCGGGGGATTAATTTGAATTTTACGGGAGAAGAAACAGAAGTCCACGAGGTTAAGATAATATGATTAATTGCCGTTGATTGGAAAGAATGGAATAACGGAGACCGTAAATGCAACTATTAATTGACCTAGTTATACGGAAAACTCGGTGCGGCTCATTCATTACTAATTGATAAGAGGTTTATGGTGGGGGCATTGAATTAGTCAATTAATTATTCGAAATGTGGGGTTTGATTGGAAACAGACCCCTTTTCGTAAATTAATTCATTAATTCATATGATTTCGGGGAAATTGGCGGAATGTCATTGGTTCAATCGTGAAATTTCACTATTCGCGGAAATAATCACATGTTTAATGATTTTATGATAGAATTTGAAATGTCTTTTTTAACCAAATGCTAACAGTAATAAAAACACTCTTGTGTCATGAAATTCTTTATTAAAATTTAGTTTTTTTTTCTTTTATTGAATAATTTCATAAATTCAATTTTGTTAATTAAATAATCAGGTGGAGATTAAGTTAATTTCAGATGAAATGTCGTGTCACGTCTGCTTTTAAAGAAAATTTAATCAGCTGTAAGTAATTCGTATGATATTAAACTGCATGATTAATGAAAAACCAGTTTTGATTTTAATGGAAACGATCGTTAGTGATGGGGCAGGAAGAAGGGCTAAGTGAAAACAGTGCTGCAATTATTTTTGGAATTTGACTTCGAGTGAAAATAATTGCTGATGACTTCGGGGGATTAATTGGAATTTTACGGGAGAAGAAACAGAAGTTCACGAGGTTAAGATAATGTGATTAATTACCGTTGATTGGAAAGAATGGAATAACGGAGACCGTAAATGCAACTATTAATTGACCTAGTTATACGGAAAACTCGGTGCGGCTCATTCATTACTAATTGATAAGAGGTTTATGGTGGGGGCATTGAATTAGTCAATTAATGAATCGAAATATGGGGTTTGATCGGAAACAGACCACTTTTCGTAAATTAATTCATTTGTTATGATTTCGGAGAAATTGGCGGAATGTCATTAGTTCAATCACGGAATTTAATCATCGAATTTTATTATTTTCGTAATTATAATTTTATAATCCTATTTTTAATGATTTTATGACAGAATTCGATATATCTTTTTTAATCGGATTCCGTCAGCGATAAAGACATTTTTCATTGAAATCCAGTTATAGTTGATGTATTGACACATTTCATAAATTCATGTACTGTCTTATGCTCGGATGAAAATATATTAAATTACCTTGAAATTGACCCTTGAATTATTTGATTAAAGCTAATTATCCTTAACAGATGGGAGTTTTCATCCAAAAATTGAATTTCATTATGTTTATTGTAAATTCAGCTTCGTTTGGGTTTTCTATAACTATTGATCAAGTGAATGAAACTATTCATATACCATTTCAAAGGATATTTCTTGTTGTAAAACGTGAAAATCAGGAGAATTAGAATTTAAAAAATAACGACATATTGATCTCATTCAAGCGGGGTAGCGCGCGAAGCGCGCGTCCCGCCTATACTGAAATAAGAACGACAAAGTATTCAAACAATTTTCCATTGAAAAATCACTCACTCCCAGGATGATTCAATAATTAATGAACACATTACGTTCGTCGTCTTGCGATTCATCATTCAGACGCAGGATTCCCTCCGAATTTCATTTGTCATTTTTTCATTTAATTTTTCCCTTCATTTTTCAATGAAAGATCCCAAAAGATTACCGCACGAGACCATCGGATGTCTTCAAACAAATAATGAGGCATTATTCCTTTTCCCTTGTTACAAATTTGTTAATGAATCCCCTGTTCCCCTGTTCATAAGAAATTCCAAATCTGGGCTGAAGTAGACTAATTGCTCCAACCTTTTGGTATTATCCAATCGCTTCCAGAACCCAGCGTTGATCGTTTCAAATTGAATTAACGTAATTCTGGCTACTCTCTGACGAGAACTAATCACATTTACTCTGAATTAATGAACTTGGTGCGCTCGACCCAATCGATCCCAGAAGAAACAAAAAAATCCGAATCGAGCAATAGAAAAAAAACCCGCTTCGCTCGCATTTTTTCCTTCGCCTGAGGGTGAGTCCAGACAATCAATTGATTCCAAATTTTGATAGCCATATGCATTGAAAACAAATGAACTGGAAAAATCTTTACATTTCACTTCTTTTCCATTCGCTGGAATTCATCATGCTGGTCTTCATCGAAATATAAATTGAAGTCACATTCAATGTTAATTGTGGAAAGGATGGAAAATATCGTATTTCATCATTTTGTTTCGTCCGGGATATTTACGTAAATGCGGTTGCACTCCATTGAACATATAGAACGATGTGAGATATAGAATATTCTTCTTTCGCATCTTTATTCATTTACTTGATGTTTTGAAGATTTATTTTAATTTTAACCAATT